AATAAAATTATATAGTTAGTTTTTGGCATTTACTTCATAGGTCAATTAGTAGCATTTCCATTTATAAACTTCTTTTTTTTATTAGGATTGCAGTTAAATTCAAGAAAAATTAAAAAAAAATGAAACTTTATATACATCATAATCAAAAAAAAAATATATATATATATATATATATAAATTTATTATTGGTTCAAAGTTTAGCTTTAGTTACCAGACATATTATATATATATATATAATCATTGCGTACATTGTATATTCTTTTCTTTCTTAGTTAATACGCTCTAAAAAGCTCACTTTTTTTCCCATATATATTCCCCTCTTTCCTCTTCTGCCTCTTCCACAACAAACCTCTCCGCCCAAATTTCCTCTCCGATCATGTCCGTTACCAGCCAACTCTCCGGCAAGCCAAATAAGATCTTCAACAAATCACTTCACCGTCGGAAAGATTCCGGCGAGCTCGATGTCTTTGAAGCCGCCCGCTACTTCTCCGGTTGCAATGAGCTCCATTACAACGCCGCCGCCAGCTACGACACTTCCTTATTTTCTCAGAAGATCTTCAGAGAGGACGACGGCGGCTGGAGAGGCGGCAGAATGAGCCTCGACTTACCGATAAGAACCAACATAGTCCCTCTCCCGCAGCCGGAAAAACAAACAACCAAAGACCAAAAAAAACACCGGCAACAACCCAGCTCCCCCGGCGGCCGCCTCGCCAATTTCCTGAATTCCCTCTTCAACCAATCAGCTTCGAAAAAGAAAAAAAAACCCAAAACCCCCATAAAAACCGAAGATCTCCACGAAAACGGCGGAAGAAAGAGAAGAAGCAGCTTAAGTACGTTGATTGATTCAAAATCATCTTCAATTTATTCATCTTCCAACATTTCTGGATTCAGAACTCCACCAGCTCCCAATTGTACCGTACAAACCCCCAACAAAAACTACAAGGAAATCAGAAGCCTTTTGGATAAAAAACGAACATCCTCCAAGAATCTCGGAACTGGATATCATAAACAAAATCCATACGACATCAGAAAAATGAACGGCGTCGATGAAGGCGCTGAAAGTGATTCAAGCTCTGATCTTTTTGAGCTAAGGATCTGTGATTCAGATTGCGGCCTGCCAGTCTACGAATCCACAAACATTCAGACCATTAACAAACCAGATTTCATCCAATCTTATCCCTCTATGAACAAACTGTAAATTAAATAAATTTATGTTCAAATCAAATATTTGCTTCTTTTTTTTTTATTTTTTTTTTTGATGATTTTTGTTTGGAAAGTTTGTCCCCTTCTTTTTCTTTAATGTCCAGCATGCTAATTAGATTTCCATTGCAATGTTTAATGATTTTGTCACTAGATTCTCACCAAACAAGAACACATCATAGCCATTTTTTAACTTTTGGGGCACATTCATTAATGATATTTAATGACTTGATCCTAAGGTTTTGGATTAATTAATGAAATTAGTGGTGACTAATCATGCAAGGTTAAGCTTGTGTGAGATGCATGGCATGGATTAGGAACCTTGCCTTTTGGTTGTTGAAGAGAACCAAATTCCACAAATATAAAATTTTGATTTGACCATATAAAATTTCCGACACTGTTTATTTTTTTGAAACAGCAAACCTCCAAATTATCACAAGTACACCATCTTAGTCCTTAAAAAATGGCACTAGCTGAGAGGAGGAACACTTTAGGATTTAGTTGTGTTTTTTTTTTTTTTTT